GGGAGAGAGGCTAGAAAGCCCCTCACCACCTGCTGAGGGATCAGCCAACAACCAAAGCCTGTTTCCATAGCAATAAAATACATCTAATGATGCCTTACTTCCCCAAATTGGGTGAGGATCAAAGTCAAAGTCAGAGAATACATAAAACACTTAGCATCTTCCCTCCCTTCCTTTCCACTTTAGTTTTCTCTTGGGTGATACTGAGGCCAGCCACCTCACAATGCCCCTACAAAGACAAGTAAAATTCGCTTCTTTGGGTATGAAGTGGATTCTTATAGACTAGATGTGGACAAAATATTAGAGGACATCAGGACCAGTATACCATTTCCAGGGTTACCTGGATTTTCCTGTGTTAGTATTTTCCTTCACTCTAGTTGAGGGCATTTAACCCCCCCAAAAGATTTCCCTCAGCTGGTTGTTTTCCTCCAACTGAGTTGTACCTGGTTGTACTGACGGTTAAATATTTAAATATCACCCCAGCTTATGGTATAAAGTCCAAACTAGAGGCAGGCACTATCCCCATTGTAATAGATGAAGAAACTGCATCTCCGCTGTGGTGTGTAAGGTCCCTAACAGCCTACCTGCCCCTCTCTGCCCACATTGCTTCTACTCTAGCCACACTTTTTTTTAAAAAAAGATTTTATTTTTTATTTTTTAAAGATTTTATTTATTTGACAGAGAGAGAGAGAACAAGCAGGGGGGAGCGGGAGCCTGACGTGGGGCTCGATCCCAGGACCCTGAGATCATGACCTGAGGCGAAGGCAGACACTTAACCGACTGAGCCACCCAGGCGCCCCTAAAAGATTTTATTTTTAAGTAATCTCCACACCCAATGTAGGGCTTGAACTCACAACCCTGAGATCGAGAGTTGCACGCTCTACTGGGCCAGCCAGACTCCCCATTATCGACACAACATTTGACTGTCCCTCACAAACTCTTTCACACCTCCCTGGGTTAGCCTGTGCCTCTGCCTTTGCCCTCCCCTTCCTTTTTTTAAAATATATTTTTTAAAGATTTTACTTATTTGAGAGAGAGCACGAGCAGGGGGCAGAGCAGAGGAAGAGGGAGAAGCAGACTCCCCGCTGAACAGGGAGCCCGATCCTGGGCTCGATCCCAGGACCCTGGGATCATGACCAGAGCTGAAGGCAGATGCTTAGCCCACTGAGCCACCCAGGCACCCCTGCCCCTCCCCTCCCTTTTCACCTGATCAACCCCCACCCAGTCTTCAAAATCACCCCACTGTGGGGCGCCTGGGTGGCTCAGTCGTTAAGCATCTGCCTTCAGCTCAGGTCATGATCCCAGGGTCCTGGGGTCAAGCCCCACATCGGGCTCCCTGCTCGGCGGGAAGGCTGCTTCTCCCTCTCCCACTCCCCCTGCTTGTGTTCCCTCTCTCGCTGTGTCGCTCTCTGTCAAATAAATAAAAAAATCTTAAAAAAAAAAAATCACCCCACTATGAAACTTTCTCTGGCTCACCCACTGAGGACACAATAGTGAAGAAACATTGACATGGGAGTACCACAGTTAATTTACACGAATTCAACCATATACTGTGCAGGGTCCCAATGCATCAAACAAGCAACAGACATGACCTAGCTTGAAACTGTGGGAGGGACACCTGGCTGGTTCAGACAATGGAGCTTGCAGCTCTTGATCTCAGGGTTTTGAGTTTGAGCCCCATGCTGGGTGTAGAAATTACTTAAAGATAAAATCTTAAAAGAAACTGGTGTGTGTAGGGGGGTGGGTATGTGAATGATTTTAAAGGTTTCCCAATCACCTACAAAGACATGAAATGCACTGTCAGGTGAACAGGCCAGAAGATACTAATGACTCGGTCTAAACCTTAAAGAAGACAATTAGCTGAAAACCACAGAGCAACAATGCCTATTGAAGAGAAAGAGAAACTGATGTAGTGTTGCGTACACAAAAGTTCATGGATAATTTAAGAGCTATTCAAGGAGAATTTGGAATATAAACTAATTCCATATTAGCGCTGAAGTTAACAATCCCACGTAAAATGTAATACCCCAAAGCACACAGTGTGGTAGGAGAATGGACACCTCAGTTCCAATTCTAACAGAGGGGGAGGCAGGATCAAAGTCCCCCCAGATGCTGGCAGCTTTCCCTGACCCCATGTTATTTTTAGATGGTTGCTCCTTCATTGTCCAAGGACAGCAACATTAACTTCCTTTGTTACTGTGTCTCTCTGATGGAAGGGAGTGGGCAACCTCAAGCTGGAAGTTGGGTTGTCAGTTTCTCCTGAAACAGTATGATAAAAGCTACTGTATTGTGGGAACCTAGAAGGAGGGGTGCTGCACCAATCTGGGGGGGAAGCGTGAATAGTGTATCAGAGAGAGCTTCCTGGAGGAAGGAGGAATTGGCCAGTTTGGAGGAACAGGGGAGGGAAGGAGAGTTCCAGGTAGAAGGGGTTTCTATACAGGCTCAGAGACAAGAAAGGAGAGCTACAGGCAGCTAGGTGTGGGGAATGTGAGGAGGAATGCCAAGAGATAAGGGGAACATTTTAGAGAATTTGGTAGAGGGCAGATCATGAAGGGCTTTGCAAGGTATGTTTGGACATTTTCCTGAGGGCAGTAGGTAGCCATTGAAGGTTTCTAGCAGGGGAGTGAGAGGGTATGGTTGCTTGTCCAACACTGAGAAATCCTCCTTCAGATCCAAGACAAAAAGAGGAATGCAAAGAGGTGCTGAGACAAGGCCCAGGAGAGCCCTCCTTAATTAGCCAGCACTGAACTGGTAAAAACTGAGGAAGGCATCTGTGGTGTGTGCTCCTCCCTCTTTTCTTGCTCTCTCCCTGCAGGTAGTCATTCTCCCTAGGCTTCCCACTAGCTGCCCAGGACCCCAGGGCAATATTTCAGCTAGGACTCTACTCCCTGAACCTGCAACAAGCTTCTAACCTCTCAGCCTACTCCCTGCAACTCACCACGTGTAAGGCACCATGCTAGGTCCTGTGGAGATCAAGATGCAATAAAGGGTCTCTGCCCTATAAGAAAAAGCCACATTTTCTAGCCAAGTTCCTCAGGGCTCTGTTTTCTGCTATGGAATGGTAACAGAGAGACAAGCCAAAACGTAAGACTATCTTAGAGTCTTTCCGGTATTGAGGTTTGGGCTTTATTGCTTAATTTCCCTGGGCCTCAGTGTTCTTGTATAGAAGATAAAGGGGTTGACGTAGCTGTTTTCCTTGAACCCTTGAACCCCTGGGTCCTCATATACGGCACCCATTAGCTATTCTCAGTGTTAAAGCCTAACGGAAACCACACATCCAAAAGTGGTATGGCTTCACACCATCACTCCATAACTGAAGTATTATGTTGATTCGTTTTCGTGTTAGCTTCTGGCAGTGTAGTAACACTGTTTATTTTCTGCTGATCAGAAATTCTAATTGGCAGCTGCATATATCTGATTAATAAGAAGGGAAAATGAATTTTTAAAAATCATGTTTGTTAGACAAACATATTTTAAAACATGGGGGACAAGGTGATGAAAAGATGAGGAATTATTAGGCTAGCAGTTAGCTAAGATTTACCTCCAGCTCTAAAAATTCTATGATTCTTAAGTTGATGAAGTATGCCATTATGTTAATTTGTTATATTTATCAGGTAACATGAGCATTTTAAAGAGAGATGACTATAATATAATGATAAGACTAATGGTGAAAATTCTTAAGGAAATTTGGAGAGGCCAGAATTTTAAGGCCATCCTTCTAATTATACTGATGACCTCCTTACAGGATTGGCCTAGTTGACCTCCTCCCCTAGGCCTGGGCCCCACTGCAGCCTTGTGAACACCCATCACTGTCTTGAAACTTAGCAAACAACACACTTTGGCAGTGCCTTCACTGACACAGAAGGGTCAGCCCCTATCAGACCTTGCTCTCAGAAGGTTTCAGGGAACCTGACACTATGAAGACAGTTTTCTTACATATTTTCTCCAGAGACTGTAGCTGCCTACATATCCTTTCCACTGGTTTTAAATCTAGCATCCTAGGCAAACGGAACCTAGGGTGCCAACCCAGACAACCCCCTTACCCAAGCCCCCCCTCCAGATCTCTACTTCTCAGCTTCACCACTGTCTTTAGCCCTATGCTACATCTAAGTTGGCTTGGCAGACACTTGTTGGGGAGCAGGGATAGCAATGCCATATATCCTCATCACAGGAGCCCATGCAAGTGCTGTTAAGACCAAGAAGGTCTTAGCACAGCCAGCATTGCCGGTGGGGCTCTAAAGTCTCTATAAGAAGGATGGAGTGGGCAGACTGCCTATTCCCAAATCCTCCAAATAATCTCTTGTTATCAGCAGTACTTTTTGATAACTTTGGCTCCAATCAGCAACCATAATATTTCACTGTAAGGGTGTGAACGTTATAAAACGAAAATATGGTGAAATTTTTGTTCTAAGAGTTTTAAACAGACCCAAGATGTGACCTCAATACCTCATACTTTCTTCAAATCTGCTAAATACTTACCCCCTTGGAAAAGTCTCATGTCCCTCTCTAAAATGTTTAAATCTCACTTTTCCAATCCTGTGATCCAAAAGGTTGGTAATAGGACAAACTGATTTACTCAATAATCACGTTAAGAAAGGTATCCTAATCATGCATCATGCGAGAAAGGTATCCTAGCTCTAGGTAACCCAGGGACTAAAACATGTAGCCATATTCTTGTCTCAAGATGGAGAAGAGAACAGAGGTTCAGGGAGAGGGTCCAGTCTTAGGAACCATGCTTGTAAGACAAAAACTGGCATCTATTGGAAGCTCTAGCTTCCAAGCCGGAGATCATATTGGCAGGCCTCTGCCTAACCTGAGATGTGCCCTTTAATATGAGGAAACTGAGGCAAAACCCGGACAAAACCCACTAGCCTGGCCAGCCCTGCACGCAACCCGAGACGCCCACGCCCCACCACTCCACGTTCCTCCCCGCAGCCCCGACTCCAGCGCAGCTGCTTCCAGCCGACAGGGGGCGCCTGCGCCCTCCAGCCGCGCCTGCGCGGGGAGGGCGGGTCAGCGCGCCGGCGCAGTGCGGTGGTCACTGGCTGCTGTGGTACGTTCCTTACGTCACTTAGCGTTGGCCCGAGAGAAGGAAAGATGGTGCTGGATCTGGATTTGTTTCGGGTAGATAAAGGAGGGGACCCAGCTCTCATCCGAGAGACGCAGGAGAAGCGCTTCAAGGACCCGGGACTAGTAGATCAGCTGGTGAAGGCAGACGGCGAGTGGCGACGATGTAAGTACCGGGACGCGCCGGGTATCCTCCGATCCTAATCCCAACTTCATCTCTCCGATCTCGTTACCGCTCCCGAGGCCACAGCCTCCACCCCTTGTTAGTCCCCTCCCTGGTTGCGGTGACTCCAGGCTCTCACTGTCCCCTAAAACGCGCTGTGCGAGCCGGGACCATCCCACCTTTTCCCTCCGCCCGGGCCATGGGAGCTCTCTGACGCGCGTGCTCGGTGCGGGTCGCTGGGCTGTCTGGGAAGGAGCTTGGCGCGTGCACATCAGGAGCTGTCAAGCCTTCCTGCCGCACCGGTAGTCAGAAGAAAGCTAGGGCGGGAGGTTCGGGGCTTGCGGGTCCCCTTTCCTGACACTCATCTTTGGTCGCCTTCGGTCCCTTTCTCATCTTCAGCAAGGCCCGAGTGGTCTCCCTCTAACCTGATAAGACCAAAGGCTCCAGCCTGAGCCTGAGTCACATCTGCAGCGTAATAGTTCAGTCCACACATATTGGAAGGATTTGGGGATTTCGGAAGCCGCTCCTGACTAAAAGCAGTGATCCCGAAGCTTTGGGGAAGGCCATCCCCCTGACCTGCAGGCATACCTTTAAGAATCGAGGAAAGACTTTGCCGTAGTAGACCAGACGTGGGGAGCGGAGTGCCGGGAGGCAAGAACAAGCTTGTAATTATTGAGCCTGTTTAATTGTGATTTGCCCAAGTTTTCCGGGAAAGACTTAGGCGAGTCGGTCTAGAACCTTGAACTGATCCGGGTGTCTTTCATGAAGCTAAACCAGAGAACCCTCTGCCTATCAACTTCTGCCTGGATTAACCGGGGGAGTCACTGATTGGCCGGAAGCTGTCAAGCACATGTGATTCTTTTTTTTTTTTTTTTTTTGTCTGATGCAATAGGTCTAACCAGCTGAGAGCCAGGTTTTCTGACAGCATACTGCAAAGGCCCTCGCTGTCCAAGAGTGTGGTGGATTTCCGTTAGGAAAATTGATTTTCCTAAATTGATCAGGGCATTGGGTAGGAAGAAAGTATTTGTTTAACTTCTGTTGTCTGCTGATTCTGTGGTCTCATTCATTCCAATGTGGTATTTGTTTGACTGTGAGATCCCACCACCTGAATCTAAATCTGAATTTTTGAGTTGGAATTAAATTAAATGGAAGGGAAAAAACTAGCCTGGACACTGTTTTACTGAATTAGAAGTCAGAAGTATCAGATTTTGTGTCAGTCTGGTTATTGTACAGCTGTTAAGTGACTTTGAATGTGTTACTTAGTCTCTTGTGTATGGTGTACATGTCCACAGGAAGTTCTGTTCCTTACTTGTTGAGTGGATATGTGGTGAGGGGATGAGTTCTTCAGGGACAAGTTCCGTGTTTTATTCGCCTGTATGTCCCAATAGCTGGGGTATACATACACATACAGGATATACATACATATGCATGCATATAATCCCAATATCTAGCACTGCACCTGGTTCTTGGTAAGGGCTTAACAAAGGGTTACTGAATTTGTGAGTATCTTCTGTGTTCAGGGCACTTGGCCCTTCTGTATGAAAAACAGTTTGTGTAGTTTATTTTCAACACATCTGTTGATTTGATTCTTTTCTACCTAACATCCCTTCCCAATATTCTCTTAGCAGCCAAAAGGAATTAATGATTTTTCCCAAGTCACTGGCTGCCCAAGTTGGACATTGACTGACCTTGTATCTTATATCAAGGTTCTTCTGTCATTGACTGCAACAAGGATGTGTAACCGAGAGCCACATTAAAAATTCAGATCATGTTCCCTGACTGAGGACCCAGTAGACTCCACGTGTATACCTGTTTGTCTGCCTGTGGACAGGCAAGGTGGCACTAGGGCTCTGTGTGGAACACAGGTATCTGAGAGAACTTGGAATCGTAGTATCACATCAGAGTTTACCACAACTCTTCTAACTCCAAGATTCAAACTGTGATTTCTTCTTTTTAATTTAGAGTAGTATAGCAAGGGCACATTTGGACATATGATAAGCAGTTGTCTCGACTATTTCCAAAGCTGCTAGATTTCAGTGTATCTTGAAATCTGCTGGTAATTACAGGAATTCTATCTAACCTGTGCTATCCTGAATGAAATTTCTCTTCACTATCTTACTGCACATGCCTTAAGTCAGGTCGTTCTCTTTGGGAGAACTTTCTGACTGCTTTCAGTTTTACCCCAGTCTCACCTAGTGCAGGGCCACATCCAGGACATGTGATCTTTTTGGAATGGAAATCTAATCATTTTACATCCGGGTTTAAGTCTTGCAGTGACATTCTTACCTTAAAGCAGTGCCATCGGAGGGCACCAGGCTGGCTTAGTTTATTAAGTGTCTGACTTCCGACTTCGGGTCAGATCATGATTTCAGAGTCCTGGGATCGAACCCTGAGTTGTGTGGAGCCCTGCATCTGGCTCCACACTCAGCAGGGAGTCTGCTTCTCCCTCTCCCGCTACCCTTCCCCCTGCGCGCGCACACTCTTTTTCTCTCTCTCTCTCTCAAATAAATAAATTTGTGAATTTTCTGGTAGCCAATTAAAAAGGGAAAGAAAAACAAGAAGTTCATTTTAGTAAGATACTATACTACGTCAGTATATCAAAAATTGTATGTTCAACATGTGATCAGTATAAAAATTGAGATATTTTACATCCTTTTTCTTTTTTACAAGTCTTCGAAATCTGGTGTATATGTTACACATACGGTGTATCTCAGTTTGGGTTTGCCATTTTTCAAATGCTCAAAAGCCTCATGTAGCCAGTGGCTACCATGTCAGACAGTGTGGCCCTAAAGCACGAAAATACAAATTACTGAACACAATTTACAAAGCCCTGCGTGTCTTCCTAGCCTCATCTTTTGTCGCTCTCGCACATCTACCCTCCACTCTTTGTTCTAGCCTTGTTATGCTCCCTGTATGCCCTTTCACACGTCCATGATTGTTGCCTCTTCTTGGAATATTCCTATCAGGCTACTGCCCCCACTCCCATCAGTCCTCTTTGCCAAACCATCTCTTCTGCTCCCATAGCACTGCCTCATTTGTTGAGTCTTCTCCGCATATTAGCTCATATATCTAATTGTGACATATATGGTATTTTTATACACAACCTTTTCAAACTTTTTTTTTTCCTGAGATGTAGTCAGCAAAGTGTACAGATTTTAATGTGCAGCTTGATGGGTTTTACAAAGCTGTATACCTATCTAACCACCACCCAGGTCAAGGTCAAAGCCTCAGCAGGCTCCCTCATGCCCTTTTCAAAAATAACAGTATTCTGCCCTCTGTCACCATAAATTAATTTTGCCTGGTTTTGAACTTAATGTAAATACTCTTATATAGCATATATTTTTCCATTTACACTGAGTTCAAAATCAGGCAAATTTAATTTGCCTGATTTTGGTGTCTTTCTCTCAAAATTATGTCTGTAAGATTATTCTACCTTTTCATGTGGAGCAGTGTTTGGTTCTTTTTCATTGCTGTACAGTACTCTATTATGTAAATATACCAATTACCATATAGATGTACTAATCAATTCTTTTGATGGCCATTTGGACTGGGTATTATGAATAAAGTGCTATGAACATTGTTTTGTGTGTCTTTTGGTAGACATAAGCACTCCTTTCTGTAGGTATATATAAATGGAGTTGCTGGATCATAAGGTAGGTACATGTTTAGGTTTAGTAGATATTACCAAATAGTTATCCAAAGTAGTTGTAGCAGTCAACACTCCCACCAGCAAAATAAGAATTCTAGTTATTCTACCTCCTTGCCCTTAATATTGGCAGCCTTTTTAATTTAATTTTAATTTAATTTAGTTTTAGCCATTCTGGTGGATATATAGTGGTATCTCGTGGTTTTAATTTGCATTTTCCTGGTGACTAAAGATAATTGAGCACCTGTTCATATCCTTGTTAGTATTTGGATAGCCTATTTTGAGAAGTGTCTGTTTGAGAATGTTGACCAATTTTTATTTAATTGTCTTTTTCTTACTGATTTGTAGGAATTCTTTATCCCTTCTGGATACAAGACCTTGTCAGATACGTATATTGCACATATTTTCTCCCAGTCTGTGACTTGCCTCTCACTCTCTCAGTCTTTTAATGAATAGAAATTACTAATTTTAGGGGTGTCTGAGTGGCTCAGTCAGTTAAGTGTACGACTCTTGATTTCAGCTCAGGTCATGATCTCAGGGTCCTAGGGGGCTCCACACTCAGCGGGGAGTCTGCTTGAGAATTCTCTCCCTGTCCTTCTGCCCCTTCTCCCATTCATGAGCTCTCTCTCTCTCTTTCTAAAATAAATAAATAAATCTTTTTTAAAAAAGTATTAATTCTAGAGACAAACCATAAGAGACTCTTAATCTCAGGAAACAAACTGAAGGTTGCAGGAGTGGAGGGAGCTGGGAGGGATGGGGTGGCTGGGTGATGGACATTGGGGAGGGTATGTGCTATGGTGAGCGCTGTGAATTGTGTAAGACTGATAAATCACAGACCTGTACCCCTGAAACAAATAATACATGATATGTTAATTTAAAAATTTTTTAAAAGTATTAATTTTAACAAAGTCTAATTTATTGATCTCTTCTTCGTAGTTTGTACTTCCTGTGTTCTGTTTAGGAAATCTTTTCATATCCCAAGTTCCTGAAGAGATTTTCCAGTATTTTTTCTAGAAGTTTTACTAGTTTGCCTTTCACATTTAGGTGGATGATTCATCCCACATTGATTTTGGTGTATGATGTGAGATAGGGATCAAGTTCATTTTTTTCCCACGTTACTCCAGTTACTCATGATAAAATGCAGGAAGCTAGGAATAGAAGGGAACTGCCTTAATCTGATCATAGATATTTATCAAAAAACCTATAACTAACATTCTTTTTTTTTTAAGATTTTATTTAGTTATTTGACAGAGAGAGACAGCGAGAGAAGGAACACAAGCAGGGGGAGTGGAAGAGGGAGAAGCAGGCTTCCCGCTGAGCAGGGAGCCCGATGCAGGGCTTGATCCCAGGACCCTGGGATCATGACCTGAGCCGAAGGCAGAGTCTTAACAACTGAGTCACCCAGGCGCCCCACATTCTTTTTTTTTTTTTTTTTAAGTTTTTATTTATTTATTTGACAGAGCACAAGTGGGGGAGCGGCAGGCAAGGGGAGAAGCAGGTTCCTGGTTGAGCAGGGAGCCCAAGGTGGAACTTGATCCCAGGACTCTGGGATCATGACCTGAGCAGAAGGCAGATGCTTAACTGACTGAGCCACCCAGGGGTCCCCTATAGCTAACATTCTTAATGATGAAGTACCGAATGGTTTCTCCCTGAGGTCGGGAGATATCTCCCGACAAGGATATCTGCGGGCGCCTGGGTGGGTCAGTTGGTTAAGCGACTGCCTTCGGCTCAGGTCATGATCCTGGAGTCCCGGGATCGAGTCCCACATCGGGCTCCCTGCTCAGCAGGGGGTCTGCTTCTCCCTCTGCCCTCTTCCCTCTCGTGCTCTCTGTCTCTCATTCTCTCTCTCTCAAATAAATAAATAAAATCTTTAAAAAAAAAAAAAAGACAAGGATATCTGCTATCACCACTTCTAATCCACATCATGCTAGAGGCTCTAGACAGTATGATATAAGGCAAAAAAAAGAGGGGTGCCTGACAGCTCAGTCAGTAGAGCATGCAACTCTTCATCTCAGAGTTGTCAGTTAGAGCCCACATTGGGCACGGAGCCTACTTAAAAAAAATAAAGAAGATTGGAATAGAATGTGATGACAGATGGTCACTAGATTTACTGTGGTGATCATTTTGCAGTGTATACAAATAGCAAATCATTATGTTGTACACCTGAAACTAATACAATGTTATATGTCAGTTATACCTCAAAAAAAAAAAAAAAAAGACTGGTACAGAAGTAAAGCTGTCATTATTTGCAGATGACTTGATGGTGTGTGCAGAACTGAACTATTAAAATTAAGTAAATTTGGAGCACCTGGGTGGCTCAGTCACTTAAGTGTCTGCCTTCAGCTTGGGTCATGATCCCAGGGCCCTGGGATCGAGTTCCGCATCCAGCTCCTTGCTTCGTGGGGAGCCTGTTTCTCCCTCTGCCTCTGCCCCTCTCCCTACTTGTGTGCTCTCTCTCTCTCTCTGACAAATTAAATACATAAAATATTAAAAATAAATAAAATTAAGTAAATTTAAAATTTTTTAATTTTAAATTAAAAAAAATTAAGTAAATTTAACAAGATCACTGTATACAATATACAGAATCAATGGTATTTCTATATACAAATAACAAAAAGCATCTGATGCCTAGAATACATTTAATAAATGACATTCAAGATCCGTGCACTGAAAACTGAAAAACATTGCTGAGAAAAATTAAAGATAATGATGGGATATGTTACATTCATTGATTGAAACATCCAGCATTGTTACTGTTTTCTTTTAGTTTCAGCACCTAGCATAATATTTTCTTTTTTATTCCCAGCACTCAATACAGGGCCTTCCAAATAGGAGGGACTAAATAAAAATTTATATAACTTTTTATTTCAAAATAGTTACAGATTGACAGGAAATTGCAAAAAGAGTACAAGGAGGTCCTATGCACCCTTCACGGGTTTCTCCTACTGATGACATCTAACACAACTGGTACAGTATCAAAGTCAAGAAACTGACATTGCTACAGTTCAGACCTTATTCAGATTTCACCAGTTTTATATGCACGTGTGTGTGTGTGTGTGTGTGTGTAGTTCTGTGCAGCTTTATCCCATGTGTAGATTTGTATAACCACTGTCACACTCAGGACAAGGCTGTTCCATCATCATAGAGATCCCTCTCACTGTCCCTTTGTTGTCCATTCTCTCTCTTCTCTCTCCCCTGCCCCCTCTAACCCCTGGTGACCGCTCTTCTGTTCCCATCTCTCTAATCAAAGTAAGTGAATGAGAAAGTAGTTAGAACATTATGTACTAATGTTTAGTTCAAGTTTGGCAAAACCTTAAAAAAAGGGGTGCCTGGGTGGCTCAGTTGTTAAGCGTCTTGTCTTCGGCTTGGGTCATGATCCCAGAGTCCTGGGATCGAGCCCCGCATCGGGCTTCCTGTTCCGCGGGAGGCCTGCTTCTCCCTCTCTGCACCCCCTACTTGTGTTCCCTCTCCTCTCTGTGTGTCTCTCTGTCAAATAAATAAATAAAATCTTTTTTTTTTTTTTTAAAGATTTTATTTATTTATTTGACAGAGAGACAGCGAGAGCAGGAACACAAGCAGGGGGAGTGGGAGAGGGAGAAGCAGGCTTCCTGCCGAGCAGGGAGCCCGATGTGGGACTCGATCCCAGGACCCTGGGATCATGACCTGAGCCGAAGGCAGACGCTTAACGACTGAGCCACCCAGGTGCCCAATAAATAAAATCTTTAAAAAAAAAAAAAAAACTTAAAAAAAAATAGCTGCCTAGGAGCTGTCTCATTTCTAGTCATCATTTCACCCATCAAAAACTTGCCGTGGTCCTCAAGCTTGGATTCAAGAGGTCTGACTTTTGCTAATTAGACTTAGATTAATGAACCACAATACTGATACAATAGTTTGGGCCCGAATACACATGTAGGCTGATTAGTGCACCATCTTCCCGCAAAGAAACTAAAGCATAAGAAACTTATTCTCCAGGCTGCCAGGTGAGATTTTTGTCAGAGCAAAGGGAGTAACATTAACCATTTCTAGCACAGAGATGCTGCAACCAAGTTCACAGGACTAGAAACAGGATAGCTCTCTTTCCAGATTGCCGTGCATACCACATAGTTTCTTTCTTTTTTTTTTTTAAGATTTTATTTATTTAACAGAGACACAACGAGAGAGGGAACACAAGCAGGGGGAGTGGGAGAGAGAGAAGCAGGCTTCCCGCTGAGCAGAGAGCCCGATGTGGGGCTTGACCCCGGGACCCTGGGATCATGACCTGCGCCGAAGGCAGACGCTTAACGACTGAGCCACCCAGGGCGCCCCTTTTACCACATAGTTTCTTTCAATGGATTTTAAGATAATTGAGCAGGTTATAGTTATTTGAGTTTTTTCCAGGTTTCTCAGATTTGTTATTTGACCGTGGCATTGTCCAGGTTATGATAGTTTCCAGTTTCAGTCCCAGAAGGGACTTTTCCTTGTCACCAAATGCTGGGAGAACCCCATTGTCACCAGTATATGCCAACTAAATTTGGGGCTCTAAAGCTGCAAGATTTCACAATTTCATGAGATCCTTTAGCTCTGCCTAAGGAGCTGTGATTGGCAGGGGGCAGTTTTTTTGTTTTTTGGCGTTTTTTTTTTGTGGGTGTTTTGGCGGGGGGCAGTTCTTAATTATGTGCATATCTTTGGTATATTCTTGGATTCTTTATTCTTCAGGCAGATTTCGGGCAGACAACTTGAACAAGCTGAAGAACCTGTGCAGCAAGACAATTGGAGAGAAAATGAAGGTAAGAGAACTAGGTAACAGCCTTGAAAGCTTGAGCAGAGGTATTTAATTTTACTCTTAGTTAATACATAATTTCTAACCTAGTGTCTAATTCTGTGAGATACTGAATTTCTTACCAAAGGGACAAATATTTTAAAAAGAAAGGAAGAAAGTAGGAAAGAGAACTAAGAGGCACTTTCAGGGATCGGTGAGTCCATTTTGTGTCTTCAGATAAGTCTTAGTCCCTTCAAGCTGCTATAACAGAATACCATAGATGGGCGGTTTATAAACAAGAGCAGTTTATTTCTCACAGTTCGGAAGACTGAGAAGTCCAAAATCAAGGTGCTGGCAGGTTCTGGGTTGGTGAGGGCCCACTTCCTGGTTCATAGACAGCTGTCTTCTTGTTGTGTCCTCACATTGATAGAAGGGAGCTCTCTGGGGTCTCTTAGAAGGGCACTCATCCTGGGCGCCTGGGTGGCTCAGTTGGTTAAGCGACTGCCTTCGGCTCAGGTCATGATCCCAGGGTCCTGGGATCGAGTCCCGCATCGGGCTCCCTGCTCTGCGGGGAGCCTGCTTCTCCCTCTCCCACTCGCCCTGCTTGTGTTCCCTCTCTCGCTGTGTCTCTCTCTGTCAAACAAATAAATAAATAAAATCTTTAAAAAAAAAAAAAAAAAAAGAAGGGCACTCATCCCCTTTATGAGAGTTCTGCCCTAATGACCTAATCTCCTCTGAAAGACCCCACCTCCAAACACCATCACATTGGGGGTTAGGTTTCAACATACAAGTTTTGGGGGGGGGGGGCGCCTGAGTGGCTCAGTCAGTTAAATGGCTGCCTTCAGCTCGGGTCATGATCCCAGGGCCCTGGGATCGAGCCCCGCATCGGGCTCCCTGCTCGGCGGAGAGCCTGCTTCTCCTTCTCCCTCTGTCTGCCGCTCTGCCTACTTGTGCTCTCTCTCTATCTCTGTTAAATAAATAAAAATCTTTAAAAAAAAAAAAAACAAGTTTTGGGGGGGACATAAACATTCAGTCTGTAGCAAGAAAAGATTCTTGCCACATTGCTCATTCATTGTCTGTTTTGTTCTTATAATAACATAACTTCCACCAGTAATCTTACCCAATTATTTCTTAAGCTCAGTCTACAGTGCCAGAAAGGTTTTCTTAGGGTGGACTTGAGATTCTTTGTCTCAGTGTAGTCGTGCTCTTTAATGGAAAGAGCACAGATAAGGAGCCCAAATCCTGGATTGTTGGCTATGTGACTTTAGGCAAGTTAACTTCTGAGCTTCAATTTTTTCATCTGTGAAATGACAATACTAACATTCACCTATAGAACAGAATTGTAAGAACTAAATTTTTTAAATATAGAGAACCTGGCACAATGCCTAGAACATTGTAGTTATTCAGCAATTGCAAGTAACAGCAGAGGGCAAGTCATTACTGGCCTTCATCCAAAAAATCCTTCCTGTGCTTGAAGAATGTTAAATTTTAGCTTGGCCTTGCTTTGCTCTCCAGAGTAGTTCATGCTTTTAATCTTTCCTCAAAAATATCCTTAGCCCCTTAATCATTTTTAAAAAACATATTAAATACTCCCTCAAATCTGTCTCATTTTTAAGTTGTAAACCTCTAAACTAAACCAAAAAATTATAAAATTTTGTGACCTGAACGAGGGAAGAGCATAACAAAAAGACTCCCTCCAGATTCTAGTACCTCACACTTCAGGAAAGTCTGACTCCTTCTCTTTAACAGTATTTTGTTACACTTTCAGCTTGTGACTGGCTGTGGAAATTGATACCGACAATCATATAGTTTTCTTCCTTTGGGAAACACGACACTTAATCATTTGCATGTCAGAGACCCCATAGTTATGTAAATTCCAGTGTGCACTCTGCCTGTGTATTCCTTGGGACCCATACACAGGTAGTGCCAGCCTAGTGTTTTCCTAGCAAGATGGAAGTGTTTTCATTTGCAGTAGCATTCTTAGATCCCTTCACTGTAGCCCCACAAGGCGTGTTCTCCCTTCCTATCCATCAGAATGGTCTTAGCAGGGCTTTAATTTGTATAGCACTTGAAAGTATTCATTTTGGTTTTTCATCTTTGCTGGAGTATAGGTAGTACCTTTGTCAACCTTATTAAAAGGGCAAAAGAATAGGCTTAGGAAATTAAGCAGCCTGCCTAAAATCACATCATTAGTTGCAGAGTCAGAACTTGAACTCAGAACTTGAATTTGCCGCCCTAAAGGATTATCAGATAGCAAAGGGGCCTCAGCTTTCTTGACTGCTAAATGGAAAATCTTGAGATTTAGGCCATTTCTTCCTACCTCAGTAGTCTCTGCTTATTCTTTTTTTTAAAAAATTTTTTTGTTATGTTAATCACCATACAGTACATCATTAGTTTTTGATGTAGTGATCCATGATTCATTGTTTGCGTATAACACCCAGTGCTCCATGCAGTACGTGCCCTCCTTAATACCCATCACCGGGCTAACCCATTCCCCCACCCCCTCCCCTCTAAAACCCTCAGTTTGTTTCTCAGAGTCCATCGTCTCTCATGGTTCGTCTCCCCCTCTGATTTCCTCCCCTTCATTCTTCCCCTCCTGCTGTCTTCTTTTTTTTAGTCTCTGCCTATTCTTAACAAGACTCATTCTGAGATTTTCAGACTTCCACAACTTTTTAAGGTGGTTTTGCTTGAGTCACTGAAAGATGTGAGTTCGGTTATGGTTAGCATCCTGACTTCTCACTTTGGTATATGAGATTGTGTAATAAATCGAAAGGATTTCTACCTCAGAAGATTGAGTTCTTTCTTATGACTCAGTTTTGTGCAGTAGTATATGAGGTTGTGTAAACGTAATTGCCTATTGTTATGTATAGAATAAAAAATATATCTTTAGGACATTGGACATGACTTGTACTTGCAAAGCAGACCCTGAATCTCCTCAACTTGTTTTTATGCAAGTTTTGCTGAGGCCTTACATATCTTATTATAATGGCCTTTGATAATTTTCTTTAACTTCTTTTAATTTGGGAAGAATTTGACTCTTAAATTATCTTCTCCATGGCTCTGAGCAAGGATTGGAAATGATTTGGCAGAATATCACAAAGAAGGGGTAGAAGAGAAACCAGAGGGGAGAAAATCTAGCCCTTCATACATTCTGCAGTTTTGCCAAGTTACATTCATTGCTCTAAACTTAGTTCTAGATTTGGTGACTTTTTTCCTCAAAAATTTTGCTTTCCTTAGTGTCCTACTATTCTGTCATCCCATCCATTTTTTCCTCTTAGCCTCAGTCCTGGGATTATTCTTAGGAAGTGGACAAGGATTCACAGATTCACATCCAGGCACCTGCCCCAGAGCTGGGCAGTGGTATGAGCGTTTTCACACCTTCTTGGTGCCCATAACTACTCTACGTCCAGGGCAGACATTCTTCCTACGTTCCTGTTGGTGTCAGCCCTCTGACCCCGATGGATTAATTGATCTGTCCAGGATCAAAAAAGCCAGAAAGTGGCAGGATAAGGACTCGAAACTTTCTCACTAATTTTTTCTCTCATATGTTGCAGCTTTTAGATACAGTTATATAGAAAGTTATAAATAAGTTATACTTATAAAACTATGTCAGAAATTTTCTTTTATTTAATAGTATTGGTTTTTTTTTTTGCTTTGTTTCCCCTGCAGAAAAAAGAGCCAGTGGGAGATGAGTCCGTTCCGGAGGATGTCTTAAATCTCGATGACCTCACTGCAGACAATTTAGCTGTAAGTTTTTGTCCTTCCCTTTTCTTTCTTTTTTTTTTTTTTTAAAGATTTTGTTTATTTATTTGACAAAGAGAGCAAGAGAGAGAACACAAGCAGGGAAAGCAGGAGAGGGAGAAGCAGGCTCTCTGTCGAGCAGGGAGCCTGACATGGGGCTCAATCCCAGGACCCTGGGATCATGACCTGAGCCAAAGGCAGATGCTTAACAACTGAGCCACCCGGGCGCCCCGTCCTTCCCTTTTCTAGGCTGGATTTCTGTTCTTTCATCATAACTTTGTTCCGAACAAGCAAGTGCTGACACTCAGCTCCACGCAGCATTGTGGCATCCTTGAATGTGTGCAGCTGGGAAATGTCCCCCTCCGCTCTTGTTGGACTCGATACTTGAGTTTTTATTAGATCACAGAGACAGGGACGGATGGAGTGGAAAAGTCAAGAGTAGGAAGCAGAGGAAAAAGGAGACGAACAACCTTTGGTTTATAGAACTCAGTTTTCACAAAGTCAAGGATCTTTTCAATTTACTGTAATTCAGTAAATATGCACAACAGTGAACCTAGAGAAGTAATTTTCAAGTTTTTTAGTCACCGAACCCTTTCTTAAAACCTGCAACACAAAAGCATAGCAAGAGCATAAATACACAAAAGCAAAGTTGCTGTGCTTGAAGGGCTAGGCTGGGGGAGCTATTCCTGTGCAGCCCCACTTGCCAAGGGCTCTCCCGTCCCCATGAAATCAGTAGTTTGAAACACTTGCAGAAAGGAATACAAAATAAGCTTAAGACAGGTTCTCTTGTTCCTAATAAATTTATAATCTTCCTAGAGAACAGTTAAATGTAGTACATAAGAGCGCTAAATTGATTTAATTAGGAATATCAGAAAATACAAGTTAAGGGAAAGAGCTCTTAAAAGAGCTACAGTAGGGGCGCCTGGGTGGCTCAGTCCTTAAGCCTCTGCCTTCGGCTCATGTCACGATCCCAGCGTCCTGGGATCGAGTCCCTCGTCGGGGCTCCTTGCTCAGCGGGAAGCCTGCTTCTCCCTCACCCACTCCCCCTGCTTGTGTTCCCTCTTGCTGTGTCTCTCTGTCAAATAAATAAATAGAATCTTAAAAAAAAAAAGTTCATAAACTCTATTAAAAAAAAATGGGCTCCTGGGTGGCTCAACCGGTTAAGCGTCTGTCTTCGGCTCAGGTCATGATCCCAGGGTCCTAGGATCGAGTCCTGCATTGGGCTCCTTGCTCGGGGGAAGCCTGCTTCTCCCTCTCCCTCTGCCTGCCTCTCTGCCTACTTGTGCTCTCTCTCTCTCAAATAAATAAAATAAAATCTTAAAAAAAAATTCTATTTAAAAAAAAAAGAGCTACAGTATTAAAACCCTTGAGATATATACGACTGAGAAGAATGGCCAGAATTGATCCATCTCTTCCTTAGGTACCCCAGAAGAAAATGCCAATGAATTGTAAGGGCAAAACTGAGTGTGTGCGTGTGAAGTAAATCTCAGTTCTTCGAAAGCCTTCACTGTTGATTTTTTTTTTTTTTTTAATATTTTATTTATTTACTTGACAGAGAGAGAGTAGCAGAGGGAGCAGGAGCGTCAGACTCCCTGCCGAGCAGGGAGCCCGATGCGGGGCTCGATCCCAGGACCCTGAGATCATGACCTGAGCCGAAGGCAGACGCTTAATGGCTGAGCCACCCAGGCACCCCTTCACTGTTGATTTTAACAGTGCTATCACAGGGCTTGTCATTAGAGCACAACAAGGTTAGGGCAACAGAATCTTATTCCTACTCTGTACCTTGACCTGCTGTGACTTGGGTACTGGCCTGGCCTGTTCATCTGCAGAGCCTGAAAGTCTCACAAATCAAAAAAGTCCGACTCCTCATCGATGAGGCCATCCTAAAGTGTGATGCCGAGAGGATAAAGCTGGAAGCAGAGCGGTTTGAGAACCTCCGAGAGATCGGGAACCTTCTGCATCCCTCTGTGCCCATCAGCAATGATGAGGTAGGTGTTGGCGCCACAGTGGGCGGCGGCCTGCCCGGGGCTCCCCTCTGCTGGGGAGGGGGCGGGCTGGGAGGAGGACTGGGAAACGCTGCCCCTCTCTGTATAATAGGCCTTGTGTCAGAAGCAGGCTCTTTGTATATTCGCTCTGCCCACCAATTGAGAATTGAAAGAGTCAGATCCTTGCCTGATTGGGAAGTAGCAGAGACAGCAGGTAGGAGGAGACCCCGGGCACAGAAATCTCTTCTGAATCGGCCGCTGTCCTCCACTGCGTGTTGCCCGTGGTAGCAGTGAGTCCTTTGGGAGGGATCTGCTAAATCACCCTCACCCCTCACCCACACCCTGCTGAGAAGCTGCAGGTTGAAGGGAAATCTGCATGATAAAAGTTTCCTGCTGAGTGGGAGCTTCCCCAGCACAAAGCTGCTCTGAGCCCAGCCTTTGTTCCCTGACACCCCAGCCGTGGCTGGGCCCATCTGTGCCTCTTTCATTCATTCCCTGGTGAACGAGCCTTAAACTCACTGCCGGCTGGGGTGGGAGACTCGGGAGGTCAGGGCCCTGAGCCCGCCCTCATATGGCCCCAGGACCAATGAGAGCCTGGAAAAAAAAAAATCTACATTCTCCTCTGCACCCCAGGCGATGCTGATGGGGGGGTGGGGGGGTGGTTGTCCTGTAGCAGGATTTTCAAGGAGTCTTTTAAAAGGGTAAAAAAAAAAGTGAGACTGCGACAGATCTCTTAGAAATTCATGATTTTGGTTCCATGGCTAGAATCACTTCTAGGAATTTGTAAATTATTATTTCTCTATTGAACACACATCCTCTAGCAAATTCTCTTCCTTAGTCTCTGTACACAGTAACCAAAACCTAGTGTTTCAGTTATGCAGTAGTTTCGCAAAGCTCTAGGTTGTTTTTGGAATGGGGTTTAGAAAGCTGGAGGTTGTGAAATTCAGTGATCATGCATCTTTCTCTCCTGGTCTTGTTTCCTTAGGATGCCGACAACAAAGTAGAGAGGATCTGGGGCGATTGTACAGTCAGGAAGAAGTACTCTCACGTGGACCTGGTAGTGATGGTAGATGGCTTTGAGGGCGAAAAGGGGGCCGTGGTGGCTGGAAGTCGAGGTTACTTCCTGAAGGTAAGAGCCAGGAACCCGTAGCGATGGGATTCTAAAAAGGAGCTAAAAAAAACTATGCAGAAAACATAACCTACTTAAAGAGGCCACAGATCCACCACTTGTTCATGCCTTTATCCTGCAAACTTACTGCCAGTTGGATGCAGTTCTCTTTTTGAGACAGGAGAGTGCTTCTCCGGATTCCCTAGAACAAGAGCCCCTAAGTGATCCTCCATAATGAATATATGTTGTACTGACTGGATCAGAGCAGTCTGCCTTTTAAGGGGCTGAGTGGAATTGGACAGACAAGTAACAAAGAGTCAGAACCCACTGTGATGAGTGCTGTGGGGTGAGTGGGCCCAGAGAGCTATGAGAACAGGTAGGCAGAGGCGGCAAACCCAGAGGAGTTGGGACAGAGGGCAGATGAATTTAGGGAAGACTTTGGAAGGGCATGGGAAAATAATTTTGGAGATACAGGACATGTATACGTATACATATACATATACATAGTATGCTCTGCATACACACACGGATCTGGTGTTTTAAGATGTAGCACAAGAAAGCTCTCCCGTGCACCTTGGGCAAATCATCCTGTCTGCCTCGCTTTGCTTCTCCTGCCAGTGTGCCTAGATGATGTGCTGGGCATTGGTATCAAGAAAGAAACTCTTAAGTCAGGCACTGGGGTTCACAGTCTTTGCTGGCCTCCCGTGTGCCCCCAGTTGCCTCTGAGTGTAAATACTAGCAGATGAACATGGTAGTGGCAGAAGCCAATCACACAGCGCTGTGTCTCTGCTCCTTTAGGGTGTCCTGGTGTTCCTGGAACAGGCACTCATCCAGTATGCCCTTCGCACCTTGGGGAGTCGGGGCTACACCCCCATTTATACCCCCTTTTTCATGAGGAAGGAGGTCATGCAGGAAGTGGCACAGCTCAGCCAGTTTGATGAAGAACTTTATAAGGTGAGTAGCCTGGGGCAACATGGCAGAATGACTTTGTTACAGAGTTTAACTTCAAAGATACAGAGCTGTGTTGTCCAGGAGAACCTCCTGCGGTGTGGAGATACTCTGTATCATGGCTGTTGAGCACTTAAAATGTAACTAGTGCAACTGAGGCAGTAAAATTTTAATTTTTATTAATTCTAACTTAAGTAGTCACATGTGGCTAGTGGCTACCATACTGGGCAGTGCAGACATAGAGCCTGTTTTATCTTTCCCCAGATAATCTATATGACTTACTCAAATTGAGCATACTTTAACACCGTGAACTTTGGAAAAAAGCACATTTTTTGAGTGCTTGGACAAAACAAAATTCAAGAAGCGGCTGATCTTCCCATGTCCTCCTCCTCCTAACCCCAGACTGGGAGCTAGAGAGCAAGACGTATTCTCCTTGGGATGGATGTGGCTTCCAGTCTGTGGCTCCTTCTCAACCGTGGAGCATCTCAGGGGAGAACCAGAGGATTCACATGGAGAGTCAGAAGCTCATTCTGATGAGCTGGCTCCAACCCCAGCCGTGGCTTCCCCAGTCTATGCCTGGCACCCAGAATTTCTAGAGCATCTCTGCTAACAGCATGGTCCACTGGCCACTTTTTACTTGTCCTTCCCCTTCAAGACTGTTCTATCAGAAGGGGATGACTTGGCTCTTACTGGGGAGGAGTCAGACAATGCTTTTGGGCTCACCTGACTTATTTTAGAGAGGAGTTTAGTAGAACTTCTTCCCATTGATGAGTTCCAGTTACGTTTTCATTCAAATTGCAGTGGGAAGCAAAAGCTCTCTAAACCCTAAGGATTAGTCTAACCTTTGTGTTCTCCTTCTCTTCTTCCCTAAGATTTTATTTATTTATTTAGAGCAAGCGAGAGCGAGTGGGGGGAGGCGCAGGGAGAGAGAATCTCAAGCAGACTCTGCGTTGAGTGCGGAGCCTGATGCGGGGCTGGACCCCATGACCCTGAGGTCATGACCAGAACCAAAATCAAGAGTCGGACGCTTAACTGACTGAGCCACCCAGGTGTCCCTTCCCTTTCTTTTCTTTTCTTTTTTCTTTTTTCCCCCCTTTCTTTCTTTTAATGTGGAGGGGAATGTGTTCATGGATCAGCCGAAACCTGTTTTCTCTTTTCTTTTTTTCCTCATCTCAACCGCAGTATTGGACAATCACAGCTTTAGGATGCCCTGCATGGAGGATTATGAGAGAGACACTAGGTAGCAGGTGCCCCCTGTGTTTCCCGCATTCCCCATCTCTTCTCCAGATGCTTCTTGGATCCATATGCAGGGAGACTCACATAGTGAGAGTCCCCATAGTGAGAGTTTGGGCTGGCACTTCCTGCCTGATAACCTCGGTCTATGAGTTCTCTGGAGCAGCACTGTCCAGTAGGACTCTCTGCAGCGATGGAATGTTCTGTCTCTACTATCCGGTTTGACAGTAGCGGCCACATGTGGCTGTTGAGCACGTGAACTGTGGCTGGTGCAAGCCGAGGAACTAAATTTTAATTTACTTTAAATAGCCACATGTGGTTAGTGGCTGAGTTCCACTGTCAAGTAGCAACGTAGTCTTCCAGGTCCCCAAACGCTGACCCAGAGGAAGTTTCCACCCTCCTCTTTTTATTTTTATTTTTTTTTAAAGATTTTATTTATTTATTTGTGAGAGAGAGAGAGAGACAGTGAGAGAGGGAACACAAGCAGGGGGAGTGGGAGAGGGAGAAGCAGGCTTCCTGCCAAGCAGGGAGCCCGATGTGGGGCTCGATCCCAGGACCCCAGGATCATGACCTGAGCCGAAGGCAGACCCTTAACGACTGAGCCACCCAGGTGCCCCCAAAGTGATTCTTTAAGGAGTATTATCCTACACTAACTCCTGAGCACCAGGAGAGCAGAGACCGTGTCCCCTTTTGCCCAGCATTGGCAAACTTGGCACTTAGAAACACCTAACATACGTCTGTTGGGGGGATTAACGTATATTGCTACCAGCTCGGGTTTTACTGCCCTGCCGTCATTGGCCACTATTCACTATTTATAAATGTCTTATGTATTAGATAAGTAAAAAAAGTATTATCAGAATATTTTATCTCCTTTTAATTTGCATTTCTTTGATCTCTAGGAGGGATCCCATTCTGGAGGGACCCATTTCCTCCTTTGTCTTTTTAGCCTTGCCTGTGGTTTCTTGCTCTCGCTGAGGTCCTCATCCCTCACCCTTAACTAGTAGAGGTCCCTCCTCCTCCAGGTGATTGGCAAAGGCAGTGAAAAGTCTGATGACAACTCCTATGACGAGAAATACCTGATTGCCACCTCAGAGCAGCCCATTGCTGCCCTGCACCGGGATGAGTGGCTGCGGCCGGAGGATCTGCCCATCAAGTATGCCGGCCTGTCTACCTGCTTTCGCCAGGAGGTGGGCTCCCACGGTCGGGACACCCGTGGCATCTTTCGAGTCCATCAGTTTGAGAAGGTGAGTGGTCAGGTCAGGGGGAGGAGCAGCACCCTTTTGTCGACCTCTCCAGGGTGGTTAGAGACAGGCAGGCTCTGTGTTGCTCAGACCCAGCCTCGCTCCAGTCTTCCCTCTCGCCGCCTACATCTGTTTCTGCCTAAGAAGCACATGCTGGAGTGGCCGTGGGCGCAGAGCCTGGAACCAGGCTGCCTGAGTCCTGGTGCCGGCTCTGCCACTTAGCAGCTGTGTGACCTTGAACAAGTTGCTTAACATCTCCACACTCAGTTTCCTCCTCTACAAAAGGAGGGTAATAATAGTACCCACCTCATTAGGCCTGCTGTGAGGATTCTGCTGGTTGGTAGGGGCAAAGCACTTAGAACAATACTTGGCATGTATATGGTAGGAGCTCCATGGAGCATTCGTTCTCAGAGCCCCAGTCCAGTCCAGCACCGATCTCCCGCAGGGGCCCCAGCCTCCCCTGACTCCCAGTGGTGTAGGAATAGGTCTCCATTGCAAGGATATCTCCCGCTTCAGTCCTTTCGTTTATTCACCCTGTCCCATTTTCATGGTCTCGTTGGGTCCCCCTCTGCAGATTGAACAGTTTGTCTACTCGTCACCACACGACAACAAGTCATGGGAGATGTTTGAGGAGATGATTACTACTGCAGAAGACTTCTACCAGTCTTTGGGGATCCCTTACCACATTGTGAATATTGTCTCAGGTATCTGCCTCCCTTTCCCGCATCCCACAAACACCACCCTCACCAGGTGAGCCGCCACACAAAGAAATAGCTCACATTCCAATTAATTGCCCACATTAATTAAAATATCACACTGTTCTCACTTGGGAATATTTGGTGATAAGAATATCTGGGCATGATTTCACTTCTGGGGATAGGATGTGAATTAAAGAATTCTTCAGGTTTGCTAAAGGTCAGTCTCCTGAAATACCATCCCTCCTTCATGAATTCTAGGGGTTTTCCCTTACAGGTTCTTTGAATCATGCTGCCAGTAAGAAGCTTGACCTGGAGGCCTGGTTTCCGGGCTCGGGAGCCTTCCGTGAGTTAGTCTCCTGTTCTAACTGCACAGACTATCAGGCTCGCCGGCTCCGAATCCGATATGGGCAAACCAAGAAGATGATGGACAAGGTAGGTAGCCCCTTGGGAGGTAGGAAATAGGGCCTTGTGCAGAATAAGTCCATCTTATTTCTCAGTCCTTGGAGGATGTTATGTCCCCACATCAATGGGAAAATTTGAGCTTCTCAATCTAGACCAAAAAGGGAATCCGGAAATGACTTCTACTAAATCAGGACAGAGTCCTTTTATTTATTTATTTATTTATTTAAAAGATTTTATTTATTTATTCATAAGAGACAGAGAGAGAGAGAGAGAGGCAGAGGGAGAAGCAGGCTCCCCGCTGAGCAGGGAGCCCGATGTGGGACTTGATCCCAGGACCCTGGGATCATGACCTGAGCCGAAGGCAGACGCTTAACCATCTGAGCCACCCAGGCGCCCTGGACAGAGTCCTTTTAGATAGAAACCTGAATCTAGCTCTATTCTACAAGGTATTTCTAGTTCTTCTCTTTTGGGCTTTGTTCTGTGTGACTCCAGTTAAAGAATAATCCCCATTTGTCTACAGAAGACACGTTGGAGGCAGTGTCTTCCCTCTCACCTAAGAAGGTCTAGGTTTGTAAGTTTATCTCTTCAAACCCAGTTTTCAGGCCCTAATCTTTTCCAAAGTCAGGGACTTGAAAGAGGTTAAAAGGAGAGGCCACTGTGGAAGTTTCCTCCTTCCCTCAAAGGGCCCAACTCTCCTCCATTTGCTGGGACCTATCACTTGTCACTCATGGAGATCTGAGGAATCTTCCTGGAATTATTATTATAGGCAATAAATACTAAACAGAATTCTAGTCTAGTAAAAGATCAATAATGCTTTGGATTTGGATAGTTACAGTTGAGGAAGTCTGGCTAAGTGGGTGGTTCCTGGTCATGAGTAAGCCTAGGCTGAGTTTCATGCTCCCTCTGGGGACCCTGTCTTTGCAGGTGGAGTTTGTCCATATGCTCAACGCTACGATGTGCGCCACCACTCGCACCATCTGCGCCATCCTGGAGAACTACCAGACGGAGAAGGGCATCGTCGTGCCTGAGAAGTTGAAGGCGTTCATGCCGCCGGGTGAGACTCCCTGCCCAGCCCGTCTTCCTCGTCTTCGGTCTTCCCGCTCTTCTGAAGAGCAAACCCCCTTTCAGAGTGGACTAACTGTTCTTGGTCAGAAACAGTCCCCAGAACTCTGTCTGTGCTGTCCCCAAAGTTGAGAGAGTAGCCACTACAGGTATCCCTTCCTGTTTAAGCTCAGCTAAAATTCAGACCGGGGAAGAAAAGAATTAATGAAACCAGTTCCCATCGTGGGTGCCCTTTTGTTCATAGGGATCATCGTCTTGTGGAACTCTCCACAAGAAGTCCTTGGGCTTTGACTCCTGAGAAATGATAGGTTATTTGGTTGGCTCTCTCCCTCCAGGTCTCCAAGAACTGATCCCCTTTGTGAAGCCTGCACCCATTGACCAGGAGCCATCAAAGAAGCAGAAGAAGCAGCATGAGGGCAGCAAAAAGAAAGGGGCAGCCAGAGATGTCCCCCTGGAAAGCCAGCTGCAGAACATGGAGGTCACCGATTCCTGAACATTCCTTCCTCCCAGTTTGTCGGGCTTTCGTTTCTGTCAGCTGGGTTCTCAGAGCCTGCCCACGGGCAGGGAAGCCAAGCACCCACTCATCACCCGCCCCATCTGACTGCATTGCTAAAAGGGGAACAGTCTGCCATGTACAGTGCGACGTTCCCGTCTCCTTGCATGGGCATAGGATCCATTCACTGACAACTGATGAAACCATGTAATAAAGCATCTCTGGGGGAAGGCTAGGACTCTTCCACGGTCTTCTGCCCAGGGCTTGAACCCTGTCTCTGACAATTCTCCCTGGAACCACGCTCATTTCTGGTTTTCCTTCTAAAGAAGATTTAGATTTAGGAAAGGCTTAAGGGGAAAGTGAAAACTTCGAGTCTTAGACACACAAGCTTGCAGGACAAGGGCCAGACCCTCCTGTGTAAATTCACCCCTGCTTAAAAGCAGTGAGGAAGGGGCGCCTGGGTGGTTTAGTCGGTTGAGTGTCTGCCTTCGGCTCAGGTCATGATCCCGGGGTCCTGGGATTGAGATGCCCCACGTTGGGCTCCCTGCTCAGCGGGGAGTCTGCTTCTCCCTCTCCCTCTGACCCTCCCCCCTGCTTTTGCTCTCACACTCTCTCTCTATCTCAAATGAATAAATGGAAAAATCTTTACAAAAAAAAAAAAAAAAAGGCAGGTAGGACTAGCTTAGAGGCCAGGGTTGACATAATAAGCCTCCTAGCGCTTCTGTTCCCTAGGAAGGGCTCCATGGGAAGAGCAGGAGGCTTGCAGGACCTCAAGAAAGATGAGACTGTGTTTAATCCTGCAGAGACCCCAGATTCAGGAGCGCAAGTTGGGCCCTTATTAACAGCTGCTTCTCTTGCCCAGTCATCCCCAAGTGGAAGACCAACCAACAGAGCAGAGGGGAGGGAGGAAAACTCTTTTCTCCTTTCTCTGGCGCTCCCCCTGTTGCCCTAATGGCCAGTTCACCCTTTCTCTGGGGAGGGTGATGGTTAGGCTCTTTGTTTACTTGCTGCCTTTCATCTGCAATCTACAAACACTTTACTTTAATAACACCTTATGTTAATATAGTGCTTTACTTCTAGGAGCCTAAAATACTTCCTATAGCTGATGTCTTTTATCTTTGTGACAGTCCCAGATGAGAGGGTGGGGACATGATTATACCTCTTCCATCACGCAGAAGACAGCAGGGCCAGGTGGGAGCCAGGAGTCCCCACTCCTCAGGAGTGCTCAGTGCTTGCATTTCTTTGGAAAATGAGGGCAGGGCTCCGAACTGGTCTTTCACTTAGGAGCTTAATCTCTGCTTCTTTAGTCCCTAAGCTGCAACTTCGCCAGGCCTGCCAGAGCTTGGCACCCACAAAGGAGGCTGTGTGCTTGGTCTTCAATGGGGACTTGAGGCTTATCCTGTTAATCTTGCTCGTGGAAACCCTGTCAAAACTGGGCCACCTGAAAGGGTGACCACGGTGGCTCTCTTGCTACAGGTAGGCTCCATCAGCCTGCCTCTCTGCTGTAACCTGTTGCCCTTGGCTCTGAGATGACAAAGCCAGGGCAAGAGGACACAAGAACAAGCTGCTCCCAGGTACTCAGAAGGACCAGAAGTGGACATTCCTATAGCCTTTGCTATTCGGTTTGAAGAAAGGCAGTTTATACAGTGTCGGGAGGGTGGTCTGGGTCACCACCACACACCCTTCTTCCCCCTCTGAAAAGCCCATTGGGCTTTAGGGTTAGAAACTTTCAAGTGGCTCTGAACACCCCCAGCTAGCCTTAGAGGTCCTTCTAGCTCCCTCCTCTGCTCCCTACTGCTACCCTCTTCTGCTCCTCATGCCTGGGGTCTTTCTTCCACCAGGAGGCACTGCTTTTCTCTGTGGCCCTCAGCACTGTGGGAGGGCAGAAGCTGGGGCTCAGCCTGGAGGGGCCTGGCCCGGCTCCAGACTCCCCCGGCCCCCTCCCCCTCCCTGCACTGGCTGAAATACCTTCTCACCTGACCAGTTTTCTGGAGCCTTTGGCCCCTGGAACCTAGACTCTCTACTGCTTCATGCAGAGCCTCCTGCCCTGTGTTGCTGGCAGCCCAGCTCCCATGCCAACCCTCCCCTACCTGCCCTGTGGCTGGGTGAGTGTGTGGACAGGCCTGGGAGCCTGCCTAGTGAAAAGGAATGAGTGGAGTCCTGGAAAGTAGCTGACTCTGTTAGCAGATCTGTACCCCTTTCTTACTGCTGGAGCCAGAGGAGAAAAAAACCGTTGTGAAGGAAAGGATGACCCTGTGGCTGAGGTTCTTCCTTAGAGCTCACACAGGAACATGCCAGTAGGCAGGCATGATTAGGAGCAGAGCTTCCAGAAAGAATGGGACACAGTCCTTGCTCTCAAAGAACTCACAGTCATTGGGAAAGGTGTGGCTTTTCTTGCTCCCAGGGGAGCTGAAAACCAGACTCCTTCCCTCCCTGGAGCAGTGGGATGGGGCTGATGCAAGCCTTGTTTAGGATGGAAGGCTGGCGTAGACGCTAAGCACTTGGGAACAGTCCCAGATAACCTTGACTCCACCCTAGCAGTTGCCTCCGCAACCCACAGCTGATGCCCTCATCCCTGGCACCCTGACCTGCCCCATCTCCAACCTCGGCTACCCAGCTTACTACCTCAGTTAGCAAACAACCCCACAGGCCTGGTGGAGTGAGTCAGAGCCCTGGGTCCCTCACCAACCTTTAGTTCCCACACCCAGGAATTCCGGGCCCAAGAAGCAGGTCTGGGTGCTTCAGGCAAGAGAGGAGGCACCTGGCCTCTCTACCAAGAGATAGAGACAACTAGAAGCCAGACTTCCAGAAGGAAATTCTAAAGAGCCAGGGGACCAATGTGAGACCAAGGGGCCTGCATGAGCTCACAGACCGCTGAGAAGTTCAGTTTATCGGCCACCAAGGAGCCAAACACTGCAAAGGTGAAGCCCCTCCTGGGATCGGATGCTTTCCCGGCGACTTGTCCTGCTTTTCCTTCGCTCAAGTCTTCCTGGGGTACCCAGGATCCTAAGAACGCCTACTCTCCCCTCGACCTCCCCCATACCTCCCGCTGGGGGCCTGGGGCAGCCCTGGCTGCCCTCCCAGGATGAGTCTGACAGGCAGAGCTGGGATGGGCCCCAGAGAAATGTGCTGCATGTCAGAGCTTGTGCCAGAATGAGGGGCCTGTGCCACTCCCCCAGTCACCTCCCAGCATGGGGTTCCCCAAAAGCTCCTCCCAGCTACACACAAAAGGGGGTGCAACCCTGCATCGCGTCCAGGGGAGGTCCCGGTGGAGCGGACACCACTGCCTCTGACGTTGCCCTTTTAAGAGCACCCCCCGGGGGGGGGGCGGGGGTGCTGCAGGCAGGTTCTCCTTGCAGAAGCCGGTGCGGGGCTGCTCCCGACAGACCTGCCGGAAAGGAGACTGGGACGCCAACCTTGCGGGGTCCCAACCCCTACGTCCCCGGGGGTCCCAGCGACTGCCGATTGGGGGAAAGCCCCCTTTTCTGAGGGGAAGTTGCTCTCTTTCGCTGCTCTGATTGGTTGGCTGACAAGTCCTGCCTTTTGGAGAGCAGTCTGGGTCCCTCCACAAGACTTCGACTTCCCTCCCCCCACTTAAACCTGCTGTTAGAACTGGTCTGGAAAATTATTTTCATTGAGGTGTAAATTGCTAATAAGATGGTGCGACCCTTCAGGGAGACTTGTTTTTTAAACCCTGAAGAAAGGGAAGAATTAAGCTTCCGTTTAGAGTAACGTTCATCCTTTCCTCCTTCCATCTTGTTTTAGAGCATAAAAAACCCATATATATATTTTTTCTTTTTCTTTCTTTTTCTCTTTCTCTACTCTTCCTCCTTGTCTACTTGTTCCCTGGATCCCACGGCCATTTGGTATCCCCGAGTCCCTACTCATCAGCTAGCTCTCTCCTGAACCTCCCTCTCCTCTCCAGTCTCTCCCCTCCTCACCCATTCCCCTCAGTACCGACCTGCTTAGTTTCCCCATCTTAAGACAGCCTTGCTGCCGCCCTGCCTCTGCTGTCAAATTCAGACTCCATCTGGTTCCTTTCCCTCAAAGATAAATAAGCAGCAGACACTTGTAGGCTCTGCTACCTCATCAGCATTCCCGGCCCTCCTAGTGCCCACCCCGTCAGAGAGAAGGTGGAATGTTCCAGACAGAGGGAACCACATGAAGGAGCAGGAAGAAGGCCTGAACAGCTGGAGTGCAGAGAACAAGGGGATGTTGAGTTGAGGGTAGAGGAGCAAGGAGGATCAGGAGATTGTACCTGCCCCTAAATGCTGGCTCCCCTGGGCTCTCTTCTGCTCTTTGTCTGCATGCTCTCCTAGTTCACATCCCAAATCTGCCATCCCCCACCATGCATCTCCAGCTCCACTCCACTCCCCCCTAACACACACATCTCCAGCAGGATCTCAAAGTCTAACTCCCTAGCTGATCCTCTGCTCCCTCCCTCCTCTGGGTGTTCAGGCACCCAAAACAAACCCCTGGGACTCCCACTGGACCAACTCCTCCTCCTCATCCCCAGCGGCCTGCCTCACACAGTCGCAGAGTCCCTTGGTCGCTCAGATCTACCCCCTCGGCAACGTGTCCCTCAGCCGCAACACTGGCTCTCCGCCTGGACTGTTGTTACAGGCGCCTCCTGCTGGTCTGCGCCCCCAGCCCCTCCTTCATGGGGACTATTCACCATGCCTCCGTCGGCCCTCCCCTGCCCACATGCTTCAGATGGTTCTCTCAACTAATCAAATAAAGCCCAGACTTCTCAGCCAGGGCCCACATTCTTCACAAGGCTCTTCTCCTCTTCTTATCCTAACCATGAGCTCTGAGCTCCAGCCCCACCTAACTACGCACCTCTCCCAGCACTGACCACTCCTTGTCCCCTTCTGTATTTGCCCATGCTGTTCCCTCCGAGGGGATGTCCTCTCCTCCTGCCACTCTGTGAATTCCTCCTTCCCCACCTCTTTTCCAAAACCTTCCCTAACTCCTCCAGCCCCACACAGAAATATTAACAAATACAGCTCTACCACCGCATCTGTCTCTGTCCACATCAGACTGGTTGCTCCTGGAGGCCAGGGCTGGAGTCTTGTTCATTTGTGTACCTCTCACACGTAGCTTGGTGCCTGGAACATGGCTAGGGCCAGACAGGGCTCTCTCCTGGGCGTGCTCTGATACACTTAACAATTAACTTATTGTAGATGTTGCTTTGGGATATGCTGCTCATAGCTCAGCCCCAGGCTCCATCTCTTCCCCTCTGTGCTCAGGGCCAAAAATGATCTCAGCTGGATC